GCCGCGGCGCTCGAGTAACAACCGCCGGCCGGGCCGGCCCCTCCCCCCTGCCCAACGTCTGTCCTCAGGGCCGCTCCTCAGACCCGGCCTCGGCCGCCGCCGCCGCCGCAGCGCTACGTGGCCGCCGCTCCGACGTCTCGCGACTCCCTTCCGAGCGCGCGAGGGCGAGCGGGGCCGGCGGGGCGGGCGGTGAGCGGGGAGGGAGGCAGGGGAGGGGGTGTGCGTGTGTGGATGTGTGTGCCGAGAGGGGGGCAGGGAGGGAGGCGAGCGCGCGCGCGCGCGCCCGCGGCCCCTTCCCTTGCTGGCGCCCCCGCCCAACTGGGATCCCGACACCTCCCTCCTCCCGCCCCCCCGCACCCCCCCGGCGGCATCCCGGCGGCTGGGAGCGGCAGCGCGCATGCGCGGCCCTAGGGCCGGCCCTGGCGCACCTTTTCTCCCTCCTGCCACATTGTGAGCGCTCCGCCACCCAGAAAACCACCGGCTCCCAGCTCCACCCCCGCCCTCTCCCACTCCGCCCACTCTCGAGCGCCCAGGTAAAGACGTGAGCTGCGCATGCGTGCCGCTCTCCTTGAGTCGGGGGGCGTGGTTGCTGAAAGGAAGCCAAATCGCGGAGTGGGAGGGGGCTGTAGGTGCGGAGTGGGAGGGGGCTTTAGGCTGGTGTTGCGGGACTCCACGGATTAGGGAGCGGTTTAAGATGAGGGAGAAATGGAAGCAAGAAAGAGGATGGAAGTCTAAAAGTGGGTCGAAGTGAGATTTGAAAGTAAAATAGTCTTTGATTATGGTATAAAGTTAAGAAAAACTTGATGATTGCTGACCTCTTTACTACTAGAGGAGAGGGAGAGTGACAGAGGACAGATATAAAAGAGGCAACCTACAAGCGGTGGTGGCTATTCACGGTATGAATGGGACGGCTGATAACTGGAGCAATTTAGAGATTGCCACGGTGGTCAGAAAACCTGATTTAGATCTGCACTTGTCTCGTGGCCAGGAATAGGGAAGGGGATGCGTTGTGTGTGTTTAGATCTAGAGCTGCGGCAAGAAAGGAAGCCTCACTTGTAAGTATTACAGCATTATGACTAATTAGCTATTAATCATTAATATAATTAATGGTACTGTTAGCTAACAAGGTAGCATTTATACAACTTCAGAGCCAAGAGAGAGTGTCCATAATTGGAAGGTACAGGGAGAGGAAATGAACTTGGCAAGGGAAAGGCCTAGAATGGAAAAGACCCAAGGGCAGCAACTCTGAGAAGTACGATGACTCCTTCCCACCATAAACTAAATTTCCCTGAAGTTGTCCAAATCTTTTTTTTTAAAGACAGGATCGTACTGTGTTGCCCAGGCTAGAGTACAGTGGCTGTTCCCAGGCACTATCCCACTGCGTATCAGCATGGGTGTTTTGACCTGCTCCATTTCTGACCTAGGTCAGTTCACACACCCCCACCTTAGGCAACTTCTGTGTTTGAATGTCGCCCCCAAAGTTCCTATGATGGAAATGTGATCCCCAATAAAACAGTGTTTGGAGGAAGGGCCTAATAAGAGGATTTTAGGTCATGAGGGTTTTACTCTCAAGAGGGGATCGATGTTGTTATGTAGGGAATGAATTAGTTATCTCAAGAATGGACTTGCTATAAAATCAAGTTTGAGTCCCTTTGCTCTGTTCTGTCTCAAATGCTTGCTTGTCCTTCTGCCTTCTGCTATGGGATAATGCAGAGAGAAGGCTCACATCAGATATCACACCTTGATATTAGGTTTCCAGCCTCCAGAACTGTGAGAAATAAGTTTCTTTTCTTTATAAATTAACCAGTCTGTAGTATTTTGCCAAAGCAACACAAAACAGACTAAGATAAGTACCTCCCTCCAAAAAAAAAAAAAAAATCCTGTAGGGAGAAAAATGATCTAAGCCTAAGACAAGATTAGGAAAGACATTAAAACTTTATAAATAAAGGGGCCCAAGGACTCTCGAGGCTTTTATGATACTGGGACTCCAGACTCCAGAGATCATAATTTTGGCAACTTTGGGTCATGTTCTTCAATGATGAATGTCTTCAGTGGATAAATACTAACAATGTTATCTTATTTCAACAGGTAGAGAAAGTCTTCAGGCAAAAGAGGAAGAAATAAGTTTAAGTAATAAAACGAGAGACTAAGATTCAATGTAAGAAAGAATTTGGCATCTGTAGGAGCTGGGGAGCCCAGAATGTCTGATTGAGATAATGTCTTGCTTTGCCTTCTTTGAACACCTCATGCATTCCCCACCCTCAACTGGCCAGAGCCACCCAGCTTAAAGAGGGGGTTACAGAGTGATGACAATTGTAGGAGGTGACCTTCTCAGTATCTGTGACTCTCTACCCATAGGCCAACTCTCTGAAGGGCTCCTAGTAATTAGAATAGTGATAATAATATGCCCTTCCATGTGGAGAATGGTTTATGGTTTTGGCAGGGAGGTTATGTGTTATTTCATCAGATCCTTGCAACACAGACAGGACAGATATTTTTCTCAGTGAAGGAAATTCAGGCCAAGAAATGTTTTTTACTGGCTCAGAGTCACCCAACCCAGTGTGCAAAGAAACCAAACCAGGACCCAGGTTTTCTGACTCCTTCAGAGAATTTGACAGGCCTGCTCTGAAAAATTGGCACATATTCCTGTGGAATAAAAACAGATGTCCTTGACATGAGATGGACAATAATTGGAATAATCAGTTCTACTTCTGCATCTCCTTTAATTGTTTTTTTTTTTTTTTTTGAGACAGAGCCTCAAGCTGTCCCCCTGGGTAGAGTGCCCTGGCATTACAGCTCACAGCAACCTCCAACTCCTGGGCTCAAGCGAGTCTCCTGCCTCCGCCTCCCAAGTAGCTGGGACCACAGGCGCCCGCCACAACGCCCAGCTATTTTTTGGTTGCAGCCGTCATTGCTGTTTGCCGGGTCCGGGCTGGGGATTCGAACCCGCCACCTTAGGTGTACGTGGCTGGCGCCTTAGCCAGTTGAGCTATAGGCACCGAGCCTGTTTTTTTCTTCTCTCTTCTGTGTATCTGAAACTGATGCTTGGGCCTCAGGGTTAACAGAGTTCCCTACTCTGAGATTCAAGTTCTTCTGCCTTGCTTTAGATCATCCCCTTCACACACCTATCATAGGAAGCAAGTTGCCCACTAACGTTACTCACTACTCAATAGTACAATAAAAAGGCTAGTCCTTTTATTGTGCCTCCCTTATTCAGCTGCTGATACTGCAGCTTGGCAGTCAGTCATTGTAGGCAACATTTAGCACCCATATCTGACCTTAGTGGAAGATGAGGCTTCTGTCATCCTGCTTTTCAGATCTTGGATAGTTCTTCACTAACTTTATTCATTAATGCAGGCGTCCTCAAACTACGGCCCACAGGCCACATGCGGCCCACCTAGGACATTTATCCAGCCCGCTGGGTGTTTTTGCTGCCACTGCCTGTCCTGCTTAACAGCCGACTCATCCCAGGGTCCGCAGTCCGGCCCTCCAATGGTCTGAGGGACAGTGAACTGGCCCCTTGTTTAAAAAGTTTGAGGACCCCTGCATTAGCGCATAGTCAGAAACCAACAGAACATTTTCGGGGGGGAGGGAACAGAATCTCACTTTGTCGCCCCTGGTAAGAGTGCCATGGCACATAGCTCATAGCAACCTTAGACTCCTGGGCTTAAGCGATTCTCTTGCCTCAGCTTCCTTAGTAGCTGGGATTATAGGTGCCCCCCTCTACGGCCTAGCTATTTTTAAAGGCAAGGTCTTGCTGTAGCTCAGGCTGGTCTCCAGCTCGTGAGCTCAGGCAATCCACCCACCTTGGCCTCTCAGAGTGTTAGGATTATAGGCGTGAGCCACTGTTCCCAGACCAGAACATATTTTTTAAATTATAAATTCTATTTTTTTTTTGAGACAGAGCCTCAAGCTGTCACCCTGCATAGAGTGCCATAGCATCACAGCTCACAGCAACCTCCAACTCCTGGCTTAAGCAATTCTCTTGCCTCAGCCTCCCAAGTAATTGGGACCACAGGTGCCCGCCACAACATCCGGCTATTTTTTGGTTGTAGTTGTCATTGTTATTGGGCAGGCCTGGGCTGGATTCGAACCCACCAGCTCTGGTGTATGTGGCTGGCACCTTAGCAGCTTGAGCTAAAGGCTCCGAGCCTAAATTATAAATTCTTACTAAAATGTTCTGTGCATTTTGGGAACTCTTAAAACCTTTATACATTTAATTTAAACAATAGCAGAGAAATCTGGTTCTTGGTAAGGTGAGCTGGATGGCCTAATATAAGCTTCCTACTCACTGCATTTCCTTACTTCCTATGTTTTGAGGAATGTACCCCCAGTGGACAATAGTTCTTACTACTTGTACTTATTTAGGGGCAACAACTGTGGCTCCCTTGCTCACCCATTAACTAATATTACCCTATCCTGCAGCACCAGACTCAGAACCAGACTGCTGGTCGTGGCCTCATAGATTCTCATAATTGGCCTTTGCTCAATCATTTCACCTTTAGGCTTTGGGTCTTCGGGTCTTCCGACCTGACGCCTAAGATTGTACTCTGGAGACTTGATTAATAGATTGCAATCCTTTTCCTAAGAATGACTGCCCGATTCTCTTCCCTAAGTCCTTCCTACAGGGAACTTAAACAGAATGGAAAAAGTGGTCCTAGATTCCCATTTTTTACTCACTTTTTCTCATATCTCTAAGTGGCAGTGTCCAGAGACAGGTCAGAGAGCTGGACTTCTGGCTTTTCTGTCATAGGGCTTGTTACGGAGACATGTATGTGTGCCCAAGTGTATGAATATGTCCATTCTCAAAGAGATGTGGTCCTAGCTACTTGGGAGGCGGAGGCAGGAGACTCGCTTGAGCCCAGGAGTTGGAGGTTGCTGTGAGCTGTAATGCCACAGTACTCTACCCAGGGGGACAGCTTGAGGCTCTGTCTCAAAAAAAAAAAAAAAAGAGATGTGGGCC